TCAGATGATATGGGGTGCTGTGTGCACTTCATTGTGCTGACAAACCATTCACATGGCCTCCGTTTCCCATGTGAGTAAACCTATGGGCAGGGCCAGACGGAATCTGCGGACATTTTTTGCTTTTTTTGCTGAGAATTTTTTTGATAAAAATCTGCGGATTTCTGCGGAATTATTTTGGGAGTATGCAGCGAGTATCATAACTAAAACCTTAATATATGAAATAAAAAGTAATAAATTACTGAATAAAAACTGAATAAATTCAGATTTACACATTTACTCAAGTAAATCAACAGAATTAATGATGTTCTAAAAATCTGCGGAATTCTGCGCGCTCAGATTCCGTGTGGGCCTACCTATGGGTGACGTCACGAATAATACGTCCATATAGTTTACACTCTATGCTCATGACCGACCCATGTAAATACATACCGCTACTCTCTGACGATACTCAACTGCTTCTTTCATCCTCGCACGCAAGATGCTTTAGATAAAATATTCGTACGATTTGTTAACGATTGTTAAAGGTAATAGGACATTTTATATTTTTATCTACATACTTTATTGACACTAACCGGTAGGGGTGTCAAAATTAATCGTTTCTTCGGTGCACCGCGATGCAGACGCGGACAATTTGGTATCGGTTCAGTAATAATCATAACCGGTTATTACTGACGTCATTTACCTCATGTGCGCTCTGTCGCGAGGGAGGTGAGCGCGAGTATTTACAGCGCTCTAACTACTTAAAACTCATAAACTGTGCACAATTTCACTGTGTGTGTTTGCTGGATCAGTCTTTCACTGACATTAACAGCAAAAGCCCCTATTTCACTGAGAGCGAGAGAGTGAAAGTACTCCATTTCTCTCTCTTGCGCACACACACAGTGGCCCGTTTGACCTGCTGGCATGACTTTTCTTCTCCTCTCGGCTGTTTTACAGCGTTACTTCTGGATACAGAAACAAGCGCGCGTCTGCAGAGTTTTCTCCACCATGTCTATCATGCATCAGCTGTGATCGCCGCTGCCGCCTGCCGCTTATCAGTATCACTCATCTGTGAAGAGCGCAGCGCGCAAGAGCCAATCGCAACCGTTTTTGTTGAGGGTGTGACCAATCAAAGAGGTGTAAGAGAACTAGACAAGGATCAGAAAGAGAGCTGGATATTTATATTTGTTTATATTATTTGCTAAATGCTCGTGTTGTTTAAAGGTACAGTTTATATATCTGACTGTTTGTTTTAAATGACAAAATTGTATTACAAATAATATATAAATATATTCATACATTTTAATAATCGATTTTGAAAAAAAAAATCATAATCACGATTATTTTGGTCATAATTGTTATAGGTTGAAGTCAAAATTATTAGCGCTCCTGAGAATTTTGTTTTTTTAAATTATGTTAAACAGAGCAAGGAATTTTAACAGTATTTCCTCTAATATTTGTTCTTCTGGAGAAAGTCTTATTTGTTATATTTTAGCTAGAATAAAAGCAGGTTTAATTATTTTGAAATCCATTTTAAGGTCGATATTATTAGCCCCCTTAAGCAATACATATTTTTGATTGTCTGCAGAAGAAACTACTGTTATACAATGACTTTATATATATACAATGCCTCATTACTCTAATTAAGCCTTTGAATTGCACTTTAATCTGAATGCTTGTATTTTAAAAAACATCTAGTAAAATGTTATGTGCTGTCATCATAGCAAAGATAAAAGAAATCAGTAATTAGACATGAGATATCAAAACTATTATGTTCAGAAATAAGTTTAAAAAAACTTCTTTCCATTAAACAGAAATTGGAGGAAAAGGGTTGCTAATATTCTGGAGGGCTAATAATTCTGACTTCAACTGTATGTATGTATGTATGTATATATATATATATATATATATATATATATATATATATATATATATATATATATATATATATATATATATATATATATATATATTACAATAGAATAAAAATATGAAACAAACTGTGCTTTAAGCATCTTCACTCTAAGAAAAACAATTTAGCTACAAAAATCCTTCAGTCAGGAGTAGTAAGGGATGTTCTCGTCGTTTGATTAATGCTAAAACAGGCGGCAGCATTTCGCACTGTCACTTTAATGGTTTCTCTTTCATGTCTTTTGATTCTCAACTCGTTTGTTTCTTACGCAAATGAGGGTTAATATGAATACTCACTAATCACCTCGTTTTGACACTTATTTGACCATTAAAGCGCTCACGTTAAGATGACTTTAGATGTCTGCGCTCCGCTGCTCGTCTCAGTGTGCGAATGAGACCGAATGCTGACCGCGTGCTTATGTGTGTGCGCGTTGCACACACACATAAGCCCCTTTCACACAGTGATACCGGTAAATATCTGGAAAATTTCCGGAACGACTTTACCGGTATATTAAAAAAAGCGCTGTTCACACAGGCGAGGACGTTACGGAAATTTTCCGGAAAAGAGCATTCACACATCCATTCCAAAATACCGGTAAATTCTGACAACATTCACCACAAATGAGCTTTAAACGGCTGCGCTTGTATTTGTAAACATTTGACTAAATTACAAACTCTGTGGATGATCAATATTGTGAACAACTTTCGCAGGATCACTGTCGCATGTCGAGATGTTCATAATATGAGCGTGTGCTGGCGCTCACAGGCTGTTTCACAGGCGCACGCAAAGCTTGAAGGTAAACAAACAACGGCTTATCATAAGCATCTCATCGATGATTATTTACACAGTTGGCATTAAGAAGAACATATAAACGTGATCTGACTAACTTCTAGCAGCTAAATGTGTCTGGAAAAATATTCAAAGGCTTTTATTCTCATGAACCGCGCGGACGTAAATGCGTCTGACTGTTGTGATTGGCTACAGCAGACGTCTCACGTCAGCATGTTCTAGACGTGCACGCGCTTATTACGGTAATCTTCCTTCTGCATTCACACAGCGCAGCATTCCGGCAAATTGCCGGTAATGTTACAACTTCTCTTTCCGGAAAATAGCCAGAACGAATTTATCGGTATTTTCAAAAAGGACCTGTTCACACATACACACCTTTCCGGAAAATTGCCGGTAATTTTCCGGAAAGGTCTGTATGTGTGAAAGGGGCTATAAGCACGCGGTCTTTCGCGCTTTTGGTATATGAAGCAATAATCGTTTATCTCGATTAATGGTTTTTCATAATCGTTAGAAGCCATAATCGAAATCGGATTTTCGAATAATTGCACAGCCCTACTGCTGTTGTGAAGAAAATATAAAATTGTGTATGAAAAGCACCGTGATGCACCGAATTGAACCGAATCAATGGCATGATAATCATAACCGAACCGTGAGACTAGTGTAGGTTCACAGCTCTACTAACCAGCTTTAATTTCTGGCTTTAATCAGATTTATTCATTTATTTTTTAAACTTTAGTGTCATTTTTTACAAAATTTTCTTTGATTTATTCCTTTCTTTGCAAAAACGTTACTTTTCCAAAACTTATCCTACTTAGTTTTTTAAATGGCAGCTAGCTCTCTGCAACTCTCACATGGTCGCCCACTGAAGCTAAGCAGGGCTGCACCCGGTCAGTACCTGGATGGGAGACCACATGGGAAAGCTAGGTTGCTGCCGGAAGTGGTGTTAGTGAGGCCAGCAGGGGGCGCCCAACCTGCGGTCTGTGTGGGTCCTAATGCCCCAGTATAGTGTCGGGGACGCTACTGCTCAGTGAGCGCCGTCTTTCGGATGAGGCGTTAAACCGAGGTCCCGACTCTCTGTGGTCGTTAAAAATCCCAGGATGTCCTTCGAAAAGAGTAGGGGTTTAACCCCGGCATCCTGGCAAAATCTGACCACTGGCCTCTGTCCTTCATGGCCTCCTAACCATCCCCATATTCAATTGGCTGCATCGCTGTCTCCTCTCCACCAATCAGCTGGTGTGTGGTGTGCGGTCTGGCGCAAAATGGCTGCCGTCGAGTCATCCAGGTGGATACTGCACACTGGTGGTGGATGAGGAGATTCCCCCCACTGTGTAAAGCGCTTTGAGTGCCCAGAAAAGTGCTATATAAATGTAAGGAATTATTATTATTATTATTATTATTAAATAGTTGTGATACTGAAATGGTAGCATTAAAAAAAAACGTATGTACAGTCGAGGTCAGAATTATTCACCCCCCTTTGAATTTTTGTCTTTTTTTAAATATTTCCCAAATGAAATGTTCACAGTATGTCTGATAATATTTTGTCTTCTGGAGAAAGTCTTATTTGTTTTATTTCGGCTAGAATAAAAGCAGTTTTTAATTTTTTAAACACCATTTTAAGGTCAATATTATTAGCCCCTTTAAGCTATATTTGCTTCCGATAGTCTACAGAACAAACCATCGTTATACAATAACTTGCCTAATTACCCTAACCTTAACCTAGTGAAGCCTTTAAATGTCACTTTAAGCTGTATAGAAGTGTCTTGAAGAATATCTAGTCTAATATTATTTACTGTCATCATGGCAAAGAGAAAATAAATCAGTTATTAGAGATGAGTTATTAACACTATTATGATTAGAAATGTGCTGGAGAAATCTGTTCTCCGTTAAACAGAAATTGGAGAAAAATAAACAGACGGTTAATAATTCTGACTTCAACACGTATGTCATTAAAGAAAATGAGAATATCTTTGTTATTTAAGCAACCTGCACACCTTTAAACGCTGACATAATCCTTTAAAGGCTCTACATAATTTGTCAGCTCAAAAGTCAACACACGCCTGCTCCCTCTGCTTAAAGATGTTCCCACAAAGCAGCGTTGGAGCATCGCGAACCCATTCAAACTCAAATTAGGAGAACAACAGAGGCCCTGAGCACAAGATAAATGATGTGTGCCAGCAGGTAGAGACTAGCACACCAACAACAGCCAGGATGAACTAAAAATCACTGAAAGAGCGTACTAATCTCGCCAGTAAAAACACACGGCTTCTGGACGACACTAACTAAACAACACATACTGAGCTGATGCTAATTAAACAGTCACCATGACTATGACCTCCCAAACAAAGCAGGACGACAGATCGCCCTCCATTAAATGTTGCAGATTGAAGGGCCAGATCAGGCGAATAAAGCCTGCTGCTGTCTTCATGATGCTGGCTCCACAACACTGACGCCATTCCCAGAGGAGCGAGAAAGCCCGCGGTCTGAAGACGTTCCTCAGAGCGACTCTGAGGTGAAGTACAAGACTGAACAAACACTCTGATACCTGTGGGCAGCGACTGCGATAATCTACGGCTTGCGTCAGGACAAGCAACTTCTCAAGGCCTCACCTCACTTGCAGTATGAGACAGGAGATATACGAGTTGCGTTTGACCGCAACTTCTAGGGAAAATGACAGGGCGACGAGTTTCGTTACTTTCCACATGAATGATATTTAGAGGCATACACTCACCGGCCACTTTATTAGGTACACCTGTCCAACTGCTCGCTAAAGCAAATTTCTAATCATCCGATCGCATGTCAACGCCACAGCCTACCCGAGTATTGCTGCTGACCATGTCCATCCCTTTATGAGCACAGTGTCTTCATCTCCTGATGGCTACTTCCAGCAGGATAACACGTCATGTCATAAAGCGCGAATCATCTCAGACTGGTTACTTGAACATGACGATGAGTTCACTGTACTCAAATGGCCTCCACAGTCACCAGAGCTCAATCCAATAGAGCAGCTTTGGGATGTGGTGGAACGGGAGATTGGCATCATGGATGTGCAGCTGCGTGATGCTATGATGTAATACGGAGCAAAATCTCTAAGGAATATTTCAATAAATCTATGGCACGAAGGATTAGGGCAGTTCTGAAGGCAAAAGGGGGTACAGCTCGGTACTACCTAATAAAGTGGCAGGCAAGTGTATTTATTTATCATTGTATTGCATTGTTGCACACACTAATCATAAATAATAAACATCTAATGGCTAATCAGAGGCATATATCATGCATCACTGACAGGCAGTATTCTAGGTTTGTGCTTCATATATTACTTTAGTCCAATAAGAAAGACCGCTGTTATTTTTCTAAATTTGGTAATAGTAAATTATTAATCATCCATTTTTCTTAAATATCAGCTATAAAATCTGTTAGTTTTGATCATTCCTACACATTAACAGGTAGTGAGAACATTTAAAGATGTGTATTGCCATGTTTTTAATGAGCACATATGATGTAAAACGTATTAGACCTTGCTGTATCTCACAGTCTATTTTAATATCTTCTGTCAACTCATCACACACAAGTTATATAAAAGCTCTAATTAAGGCAGTACCCTTTCCAAAGGTACATGTTTGAACACTTTAGGTACTAATATGTGTCTTAGTAGGGCTGGGAGATTTAATCTAAGATCTAAATCCACCTAGAACACCCTAGCAACCACCTAGCAACGCCTTAGCAACCACCTAAAACACCCCGGCAATGCCTTTATAACCGCCTAGCAACCACTCAGAACACCTTAGCAACTACCTAGCAATGCCTTAACAATCACCTAGAACACCTTAGCAACCACCTAGCAGTATCTTAGCAACCACTCAGAACACCTTAGCAACCACCTAGCAATTCCTTAGCAACCCTCTGAAACACCCTAGTAACCACCTAGCAATGCCTTAGTGACAATTAAGAACACCTTAGCAACGACTTAGCAACAACTCAGAACACCTTAGCAACTAGCTAGCAACGCCTTAGCAACCACCTAGCACACCCTAGCAACCGTCTAGCAGCACCTTAACAACCAACAGGCAACGCCTTAGCAACCACTTGAACCATCCTAGCAACCACATGCAACACCTTAGTACCCTCCTAACATCTTAGCAACCACTCAGTACACTCTAGCAACGCCTTAGCAACCACATAGCAACCACTCAACACACCTTACCAACCCCCTAGCAACGTCTTATCAACCACCTAGAACACCCTGGCAATGCCTTAGTAACCATTTAGAAAAATCTAACATTGCCTTAGCAATTGCCTAGCAACCACTCAGAACACCTCAGCAACCACCTAGCAATGCTGTAGCAACCAACTAGAACATCCTAGCAACCGCCAAGTAGCACCTTAGCAACCACCTAGCAACACATTAGCAATCACTCAGAACACCCAAGCAACCACCTAGCAATTCCTTAGCAAGTACCTAGAGCACCTTAGCAACAGTCTAGCAACACCTTAGCAACCATTCAGAACATCTTAGCAACTGCCTAGCAACCACTCAGAACAACTAAGCAACCACCAAGCAACGCCTTAGCAACCATTCAGAACACCTTAGAAACCGCCTAGCAACCACTCAGAACACCTAAGTAACCACCCAAAATACCATATCAACCATCTAGCAATACCTTAGCAACGACCTAGATCACATTTGCAACAGCCTAGCAGCACCTTAACAACCATTCAGAACACCTTAGCAACTGCCTAGCAACCACCTTGCATACCCTAGCTACCGCCTAGCAACATCTTAGCAAACACTCAGAACACCCCCAGCAACCACCTGGCAACACCTTAGCAACCACTTAGAAAACTCTAGCAACACATTAGCAACCACTTAGAACACCAAAGCAACTGCTAAGCAACCACCTAGCAATCACTCAGAACACCCAAGTAACTGGCTAGCAACATCTTAGCAACCACCCAAAATAGCCTAGCAACCATCTAGCAATACCTTAGCAACGACCTAGAGCACCTTAGCAACAGCCTAGCAGCACCTTAAAAACCATTCAGAACACCTTAGCAACTGCCTAGCGACCACCTAAAATACCCTAGCTACCACCTAGCAACATCTTAGCAACCACTCAAAACACCCCCAGCAACCACCTGGCAACACCTTAGCAACCACCTAGAAAACTCTAGCAACACCTTAGCAACCACTTTAAACACCAAAGCAACTGCTAAGCAACTACTCAGAACACCCTAGCAACACCTTAGCAACTTACTTAACTGCCTACGTACCCATCCACGTCAACTGTTTTTAAAATGTTGACCAGTCCATTGTGTGGAAGCCAGCATCAATGCACTGTAGGTACATTACCGTTTAAACAGTCCCCATTACAGCTATTGTACCTTTCTGTCTGGGCGTGTAACACACTCGTGATGCATTTAATCAGCATTTTAATTGAGTTTAACGTTGTGTATAAAGAAAACTGTTGCCCAAACACAAGGCGCTAACAGGAGCGCAATACATCAACTGAGCCACATGACCAGAACACTCCCTACAGAAGCATTGTAAGTGGATAAAACAGTGTACTTAAAGGCAGATTAGCACACTCATGTGATCGGTACAGAACAGTACGAATGCCAGTACAATACACAAACCCTCAAGACCAGACCTGTGCGGAGCTCATGTACATTTCCAGTCAACAATAGAGCCACTTCCTTCGCTTATCATCACTGAATGCTGAAATCACACAGGCCACAGGTGCTACATAAACCCGTTTCCCCGCGTTTTCAACATCTGCACCTGTTCCCTCTGTGACGGACTCTCATAAGCAAACACCGGGTCTTCATAGAAATGTGACAGCAGCATAAAAAGAGCTGGAGTGCACGACATTAGGCCGAAGTCCAAACACTGAGCAAACTGAGCCGCGGGTCAAAGTCTGTCAGCTCCGGTAACCAGAGCTTCTGAGGCCTATCAGGACAATGTAACTCGAGCCTATAGACGGCCTTTGTCTTTTTTTTCAAAGGAGCCTTCCACAACCACAAAAAAAAAAAAAAAAAAAAGAGGGATTCTGTGTGTCCTTTCAATCCGCTCACAAAAAGGATGTGTTTGATGGAGGAGATTATATCATTTTCTGGATATTATGCCACTTTAACTGCATACACTACTTAAAGGGGAGTGAGGGGGGGGGCGGTTCTGTCATCATTTGCTCAGCATAATTGTTGTAAACCTGTATAACTGGCTTCCTACTGTGGAAGAAGTGTCGGATATGGGAAAGTAAGGCCCCGTTTACACTAATGTAAACGACGTTTTAGATCAAAAACGATCTGCGTCCACACTAGCGTTTCTGAACATATCTCCGTCCACACTACGCCACCAAAAACGTATATCACGTGACCATTCGCGCACTCTGGGCATGCGCGTTCTAGTATATATAGCGTCTCGCTCGGCATTTGGTTATTGTTAGTCAACAAACGCCGGTTGAACAATGAACGCGATGGCAAAGAAAGCAAGAGAGGTATTTTTGTGGACAGACGACGAGGTCGAGTTGTTACCAAACGAAATGAATAACTGCACAATGGCGCCTAAAACAGACAACAGTGCAAACAACGCTCCCGTTTTTGTGTCCATGTTGTTGTTTAAAGTGAAGGCTGGTCTGCTGTCTTCCGGTAGCGCTAAAGCCATGTGTTATAGTCATGTGATAGGGGCTTGACGAATAAGGGAAGGATACGCAATGACACAAAAGCCCCAATCGGGTAGCGAATCTCAGTAGCCCCGCCTCCGTTTTCAGATGTCTCTCCAGCTTTTGCAAAACGCTCCGTTTTCGGCGCTCGAACACTCCGGCGTAGTGTGGACGCATGGCATAACCGTAGCAAAACTTATGCGTTATAAAACTTAAACGCATTAGTGTAAACGCGGCCTTAAACTAATGACATTCAATTCAATAAAATATTTTTTTCTGGTCTTACTGAACTTATTAATTATGGGTTTAAGTAAACGTTTTAAAGTTGTTTTATTCTACAAAGGTCTGCTGACATCTCTTCCACATTTCTAATAAAAAGATATTGTAAATCTGAGAGTTTTTTGTCCCACCAGAAAATGACAATTGTTCAAAAAGAGAAACGTTTTTGTGAGTTTTTTTTTTTTTTTGTGACTGAAAATCAGGGTTATTCTACTTAATATTGATTTATTAACTCTTTTAAGTTAAAACATTGTTATTGTGTTGTCTGATTATGACCATTTTATGTAATATTTAGAAGAAACGCCATCAGTATTTTCCAGCAAAACATATATACATATATATATATATATATGTGTGTGTGTGTGTGTGTGTGTATATATATATATATATATATATATATATATATATATATATATTAGGGATGTAACGGTATTGTAAATACCGTCATACCGCAATATTATTTTTTTCGATATTACCGAAGTCGCATGACTCGGTAAAACTATAGGTCTTCTGAGAAAATTTGCTCAGGCGAATGAAGCGAACGGGATGTAGCGAAAACTACAATTGCCATCAGCCCATGCTTGACCATCATCCCTTGCGGTCTGTTGTCGCTACAGATCCAGTAATGCGGAAATGGAGTGTGCTGCTAGAAGCGGGGATGAAAAGAGCTGGAAAACTCTAAAGCAGGTCGCACACCAGAAGCGGCGCTCGGCGGCGCGCCGCGCAGCGCCACGCAGCGCCATGTATTTTAGAATTCTAAACATAGGTTTCTATCAGGATACACACACCGGCGCCGCAAGTCGGCGGCTGTCGGCGGCGCCCGGCGACGGCTCAGGACGCAGTTCATTTTTCAGCCGCGCCACAGAGCGCCATCTGATTAGTTTCATGTTAAATATCATTCGAATGTGCGCGTCTGGTGTGTGATGCTTATAAACTGTCATGTACATCTGAAAACGGAAGCGGGGCTGCAGACGTTTGCCTCTCTGATTGGGGCTTTTCCTGAATATTAAGTAGCCTAACACGCACAGTTCAGTCCTGCATCTTCTCCGTGTAAGTTCAGACTTCGCAAGTTTGATCAAGGCTGCGTCTCTTCTTCTCAGTTTGATATGGAAAAGCAGATTATACCGAGGACACGGGTAAATCTTCAAAGGGAACAGTGTACTTTATAACTTCATTCACATCACCCTGGCTTCGTTGTTTCACTTTCTCAACAATAAAATGTAAACATGATTTAAGGAACTGCCTATTTTCATTTTAATATTAGCAACTTAGACAGCAGACATGTTGAGGCGTCGTGCTGCATAAGATGAGCGTCATTTTCACTGTGTGGATATTTATAACAAAACGGAGCCGATAACAACTGCCTCCTTTCAATTTCAGTGAAAATACGAAACACAGCCTCTCTTTTGCTGAGTATCAGTTTTAAGAATCGATAATGGCCATTTTAAAAGTATAACATACAATAAGTTTATACATTATAGGAAATAAAGGCAAGCGATCAGTCAATATACAGAATGTACGTGGTTACATTAATCATTAACTTATCTTTGCGCTCAGCCAAAACACGTTACCTGAGAACAAGTAATAGATTCCAATGCCCAAAGTCAGGGAATATGTCGTTAGATAAAGACAACAAGATAAATGAAATATCCCGTTTAATAAATATAGTGAGATTGATCCAGCGGGAGATGCTTGATGAGAAGTCCGACTAGCAGAGCTCTCATCTGGGTAGATGGGCTGAGTGTGATTAAATGTTGAATGTGATGAGTTTTCAACAATACTAAATTGAAACTTTATTTTTTTACATGGTTTAATAATTTTTTGTTATTAAAATTGAAGTTCCTGTTTCAAAGCTTACAGATAGATGGCTAATTTGTATGTCATTGACACTTTTGGCACTTTTTTGGAGTATTTTCATAAGTTTTGTTTTTTCCTGTAAATGATTCAATAAATACCGTACCGTGACATTCATACCGAGGTATTCCGTACCGAGATATATATATATCTATACATCTCTATATATATATATATATATATATATATATATATATATATATATATATATATATATATATATATATATATATATATATATATATATATATATATATATATATATAAACACAGTGTTATTTTACATTTGATTAGTGTATTTCTGCCATTCAATAATGTTAAAGTCTAACCAAAAATAAATTTTCTTGTGAAATTAATGATGAACACTGATGAACATTTGCTGTTATTTACTCACTATCAGGTCATCCAGGAGGTTTTACTTTCCTTCAGTAGGACATCAAAGAAGATTTTAGTGACCAAACATATTTAGAAATTAACAGATAATAATAAATTCAAGCTTAATATTGCACACAATAAAAATTACAACCTGCAAACTTTTTCAGTTGTTTTGCTTCTCTTGGTTTTTCCTCTTTTTTTTAAATGTGTATTTAATATTTTTCTCTAACATATAAATTTGGCTGTGCTAGTTTTTGGAGCGTTATAATAAGTTATTTGGTTAGATGAGCTCCAGATTTGGCTTCAGTACTGACTAATCTAATGTATATACACAAATACAATATTCTAGAGCTTCCTATAAAAAATATGAAATATTATCCAACTATAAAATATGAATAAAAGATAGATTTGTGAGGAGTGAACTACTATATGCTGAGCATTGTGTGTATGTATATATACACACACACACACACATATACACATATACACACACACACACACACACACATATATA